CTCCTGTCACAAAGCACAATTCTCAATTCACGCTGGGAATGCAGTCATTTTGCTTACACCACAGCCCGAGGGTAGGTGAGTTGCCACAGCCGGCTCAGTAACCCCATCCCAGTCAGGGCCACAAGGTGCAAGTTGATGTCAGCAGTCACCACTAAAGGGCGCTTCAAAAATCCCCACATCTTGTAGAAAAGCAGGCTCAGGCAGATGCCCTAGAAAAGAGGGGAGGCGCCGTGGTCAATGAGGTCTCACAGGAAGCTACAGAAGAAATCCGAAGCCCCCACCCCCGCCCCGCCCCGCCCAACTCCCAGATGCACAGAGGGAACCACAGCCCAGCTGGGCTGCTGAAAAAGGCAGTTGTTCATGGAGCCTCAGTTCAGGTAGACGTGTGGGGTGAGGGGCACTAGCAGTGAACTCGGGTGGGACTTCAGGCATCTCAGGACTGGACATTCACTCCCTTCAACAACGCATTCCATAAAACCTGCTGAGGACGTCTTGGGAGCAAGAACACTGCTAAGGAATGCCAGGCTTCCTCCCCTCCCTCCCCAACGACCAGGAGCTCACACGGTGGCCACGGCTCCCAGACCCTGAGCAGCTCCTGGGTGCCATCTCAGCTGCTTATGCCCCGGGACCTCAACCCGCCCGAGCCTCAGGGCCTCCTCATCTCTCCTTAAGGATGCATCTGCCTCCAGTGCCTCCGTGCCTTCTCTCCCAAGGGCACATCACCTCAAGGGTGCTCCCTTTCTCGCCTGGAAGGTGCATTTGCACTGAGCCCCCCTTTCTCACCTGGAGGGTGCATTTGCACTCTGAGCCCCCCCTTTCTCACCTGGAAGGTGCATTTGCACTGAGCCCCCCCTTCTCACCTGGAGGGTGCATTTGCATCCTGAGCCCCTAAGTTCTCCATCAGGCTTCATCTTCCCTTGAGCTCTGCTTCTCTTGAAGCTGCATCAGCCTTGGGGTCCCTGTCTCACAACACAGCTGCATCTGGCCGCTGGCACCCCGCTGACATCCCCAGGCCCCATCTACCCTGGACGAGCTCTGGCTCTTCCCTCCCTGAGCTGCATCTGCCCTGAGCACCTTCCTCCCAAGAGGACCATCCGTCCTGGAAGTGCCTCCTCTCCCCTTGCAGACTGCATCTCCCTGGCCGGCCCTTCTTCCCCACAGGCCACACCTGTCCCGACCACCAACTCCGGAGGCTGCACCCGGGGCACGCCCCTCCTCCCTAGTGCAGCACGTGCCGCGGAGTTCTTACTTCGGGGCTCGGTCCGCCCCTGCCGCCTCACCTGCCAGGGCCAGAACCCCGCTCCCGGCTCCGGCAACACGGGGACGCCCCTGGCCCCAGCCGGTCCACAGACCGCTCACTCGCGTCCCGCACTGATGGACTCCCTGAGTCCGGGCTGGGCCCTCATCCCCGGTGTTCCTAAACGTACCCGCGTTTCTCTGAGACCAGGCAGAGTCGCGCACCGCGCACCGCGTCTGGCAAGGCCTCGGAACCGTCGGCTCAGTCCGGCGGTTGGGAGCAAGGCGCTTCGGCACTCCGCACCGCCCACCGCCCTCTCGGCTTTCGATTCACCGCGCCTGCGGGACCCGACGGGCAGCAGCGCGCGTGCGCACTGGGCGGTGACGCGCGTGCGCAGCAGGCGAGGGCGCCGGGCCCCGGGGAGAAGCAAGTGTCAAACGCGGGGGACCTCCCCTCCCTCGGGTGCTACTGCTTTGTGTGCCAGGTTTTTTGTGTACTCTAAGCAAACGTGCAGCTTTTTAAAAACGCAGTGGGCTCCCACCCATCTTCTCCTTGCTTTTTCACTCCATCTGGCGTGGATATCTTAATTCTGCGGCTGCACAGCGGCGAGCCAGTTTGCTCCTAGATTTTTTTAATTAATTAATTAATTAATTAATTAATTTGGTTTTGAGACGGAGTTTCGCTCCTGTTGTCCAGGCTGTAGGGTAATGGCGCGATCTCGGCTTACCGCAACCTTCGCCTTGAGGGTTCAAGCTATTTTGCTGCTTCAGCCTCCCGAGTAGCTGGGATTGCAGGCGCCCGCCACCACCACGGCTAAGTTTGTGTTTCTAGTAGAGACCGGTTTCTCAATGTTGGTCAGGCTAGTCTCGAACTCCTGACATCAAATGACCCGCCCGTCTCGGCTTCCCAAAGTGCTGTGATTACAGGCGTGAGCCATGGCGCCTGGCTTTAATTTTTTGAGACAGGGTCTCGCTCTTTCGTCCAGGCTGAAGTGGTGTCAGGACCACAGCTTGCTGCAGCCTCGACCTCCCTGCCCCACGCGATCCTCCCGCCTCGGCCTCCCGAGCAGCTGGGACCACAGTCCCACGCCCCCACGCCCCTAGTTTTCTTACCAAAAAACATCGCTGCCGCGAACCTGCTTGCACATACATCTAGCAGAGGAGGGGCTGAGGGTACGTGCATTTAAAAGGGACCTAGGGCCGGGCGTGGTGGCTGATGCCTGTGACCCCAGCACTTTGGGTAGCCGAGGCAGGAGGATCGAGTGAGCCTGCTTGAGTTTCAGAAGAGCCTGGGCAACATAGCAAGAACCGGTATGTACGAAAAAATACAAAAATTAGCCGGGTCTGTTGGTGTCTGTCTACGGTCTCAGCTACAAGGGAGGCTGAGGTAGGAAGATCGCTTGGGGCAGGGAAGTCAAGGCTGCAGTCAGCTGTGGTCACACCTGTCTCAAAACAAAAAACCCAAAAAAACCCTGACATGGTGGGGGCTGCAAGACCACCAGAGGCTCCAGTGGGGGTATCTCTCTTAAACTCCCCGACAGCCGGGCACGGTGGCTCACGACTGTAATCCCAGCACTTTGGGAGGCCGAGACGGGTGGATCACGAGGTCAAGAGATCAAGACCATCCTGGTCAACATGGTGAAACCCCGTCTCTACTAAAAATACAAAAATTAGCTGGGCATGGTGGTGCACGCCTGTAATCCCAGCTACTCAGGAGGCTGAGGCAGGAGAATTGCTTGAACCCAGGAGACGGAGGTTACGGTGAGCCGAGATCACGCCATTGGACTTCAGCCTGAGTAACAAGAGTGAAACTCTGTCTCAAAACAAACAAACAAACACTCCCTGGCATAAGACTGGACGCTTCTTCCTCCCTTCCCAGGGCTCCTCCTCCTCATCCATCAGCCTCTCCAGCCCCCTCTGCTCAGAGCCAAGAGCCTTCCCAAAGACCTACTTTGGGGCTGACATGGTACCTATGGTTGACTGCACCCCTTCCCATATTTTGCCTGGATGGGCACGGAGCATGTAACTGACAGCAATGCAACCAGGCTAATGAATCACTCTTCTCGGCCTCACCCCTTCTTGATCTCCTGGTCTATTTGTATGTTAATCTACAGAGACCAAATGGGCACACTGTGGGGTTCCCCCCCGCCCCCCGGCCACTGCTCTTGTCTACACTATTAAGGGTTTAATAACCTTAATAATCTTGGCTGTCTACAAGATTTTTTTTTTTCCATGTCCGTCAACACAGCATTGGGTGACACCAGTTGCGAACGTAGTGGTTACTTCTTTATGGCTTACCCATGAGGGGTTATGTGACTCACCCAAGATCCCACAGAGAGGGAAGGAGGGGGGCTCACCTGGGTTTGTGGCCCCAGAGCCTGCAGACAACCATGTTTACAGTGGGCAGGGAGGGTTCCCTGGGCCCCAGGAGGGAGTGGGGCTGGGCCGCTGAGCTTTGGTGCATGCTATGCTAAGACAGTGGTGGTGCCTCAGGAGTTAGAGCTCCATCTTGCAGGCCCTCAACCTCAGGACTAGCCTCCTTTGGGGCTGGCTGTGAGCCACCTGTCCCTAGGGAGCAGTGAATCAGGGCACTGAGTGTAGTTGGTTGAAGCTGAGATGCCTGTGCCCAGGTCCCCAACTCTCATCCATACTCAAAAGGCTTAGAAGGAAGTTGAGGTTGAGGTTCCTCATGGAAACAGCATTTTATTTCTTGGGAGGTAATTAAGTTTTCTGAGCTGGTTCTAGGCACTAAGCCAAAAGCTACTAGTGACCTCTTTGAATCCACACTACCCCATGAAGTTGATAGTATTACCACCTACATTTTATGGTTAAGGAGACTGTGACCCAGGTGGTGAAAGATCTTTCCCCAGGACACACAGTGAGGCAATGGCAAAACCGAGAACCTGCTGTCCTCAACCCATTCTTGAACTATTACCCTTCGCTACCCCAGGCCTGGTTCTGCTCCTTTCCCCACCCCAGAACACAGCGTCATCCTCTACTTCTTGCAAAAGCACTACTAGAAGTGGCAACACAACACGCCACATGAAATGCTTACCTCCTGTGACCAACCCATTTCTCACTCCAAGT